TCGCACGCAGACCCGTTACCGCTGAGCCGCCTGGGGAGTGCCATTTCCTGCTTCGGCGTCTGCAGTCATGGGGAAACGGAAATGGTTTCCCCCAAACTGGCTATGAGGCAACTACTGACCAATTCCCTGTTTTTTAAGAGACTGTGGTGTTGCGAGCAATCACTGTGAAGAGTCAGCCGTCACACCTCCTGGCTACATGCACACATGCCAGCCTCCTTCCACGTTTAGGGTGGAGTCCTCCGGTTTGCAGACTCTCTGTCTGGGTGTGTGCACAGGAAACTTGCCGATCACCTCTCTGGCACTGCATTGTCTTTACTTGTTCTGTCTGAACTTTGGACAGTGTTTACCAAGAATGTGCATTTGGAATTAGCCAGTGCCTCTCCCTGATAGTTCAGCTGGTAAAGAATTCGCCTGCAGTGCAGGTGACCCCGGTTTGATCCTTGGGTTGGGAAGATCCCTTGAAGAAGGGATAGGCTACCCACTCCAGTATTCTGGCCTGGAGAATTCCATGAACTGTATAGTCCATGGGGTTACAAAGAATAGGACACGACTGGGCAACTTTCACTTTCTTTCTCCAGAGCATGAATAAGTTTTGTCTCCAGGAGACAATTTCTCCATGACAGACTTCACTACTTCTCAGAAGGGAAATGATGTCAGCAGAGTTTCCTCCAAGTGTCTGCCCTTGAAAACCCTTTCTCGAATCCCTTTCCTCACCCTGTGTGACTTGGCGCACACTCGGGAAAAGGCTTTATTGGAGCGAGTGTTTTGGGGACACTCGGCTAGTAAAGCTGAAGATGGCAGAAGTGATGCACTGGAATACGCATCGGTTTTATCTTCATGCCGGAGCACAGAAGTTGGGATAATTTACCGACATGCTGTAAACACGCCCACACCCCCCAGGACAGGGCGCCTGCCGTCTTTGACCCCATTTCAAAGATATAGTAAAACTGCGAGAAACACTTTCCTTTTAATTAGTTTGAATAAAATTTTGCTGACTGGGGCCTCTAGGCAACTGGTTCCAAATATGACTTCTTTGTGAAGAAATCCAGGCTCATGCACAGACGGCTTGCTTCTCAACTCAAAATCCCATTACTTTTTGTAAAAATTAGCATCAGAAATGTTCAGATATACACACTGGGAAGACCCAGAGGGATCGGGTGGAGAGGGAGGTGGGAGGGGGGACCGGGATGGGGAATACATGTAAATCCATGGCTAATTCATTTCAATGTATGACAAAAACCACTGCAATGATGTAAAGTAATTAGCCTCCAACTAATAAAAATAAACGAAAAAAAAAAAAAAATACACAACAGAGAACAGCTTCACGAAGTTCCAGTTGTGTCCCCCTACTCTGTTCTGTTCACGTTCTCGTCCTGTTCCGGGCTGTGTTAGTGAACTTCTCATGTCTTTTTACTTGCGGGGTGTGAAACCAGTGGGCCCCACTGGATTCCTTCTGTGGCCCCTACTGTTAGCTCCACCTTTATTGACGGATGAACCTTTGTGTCTCACAGCAAACTCCTGTTTCTAGCTCTTTCCATTAAAATGCTCCTAAAGCTGTGCTTTTTGCACAGGTGCTCCTCTGAGGCTTCTGCCCTCCTTATTTGTGGCATCCACTCTCCCTGAGCGTTTTCTGAGTATTCCGGAAGACCCTGCAGCTCCTGCCATTGAAAACACATTCCCGGAAGTTGGGCCCTGAGGAGAGGAGTTTAGACACAAGGGCGCGGCTGACTGGGGATGCTCGGGCTCGGGCTCGGGCTCGCTGGGGCTGGGAGGGCGCCGCGCCCGCTGAAGACGCGGGAGGGCGGAGCCGAGAGCCGCTGTGCCTTCAGTCTCATCCTTTTATTGGAAGCTCTCCACTGGGGGAGAGTGTGTGCCCGTCAGTCTCTCCTCCCCTCCCGGGCTGCCGTCCCCGGCCCGGCCTGACGGGCTGGGACGACGCTGCCCGGCCGCGGCCTCCCCGACGGCCACGACCGGGCCCGGGGCTCCTGCGGAGACACTGTGGGCACGTGGACGCGCCGGCCACCTGGAAGCTTCCGGGAGGCCGGATGTCCGCACAGCATGCCGGGAGTGCTTTCCCCTGAACCCAAGCGAGCCTCGTTTCAGGGCTCCTGCCGCTGTTTCCTGTCAGGTCCGCAAAGCTCGCCTGGCGGGTGAGAAGCGAGTCCACGCTCTGGGCGAGCTGAGCTGTGAGGGACGAGCCGGGTGCAGGCGGGCTGCCCAAGGCCAGGGCCTCCCGGGGTGAGGGGCGCTTCCGGCCTTCTCAGGCACGTGAGACAGGACCCCGTGGGGTTCTGTCTGCTCCAGCCGCTGGCTGCGTCTGTCACCTGCGCCCTAACCAGGAGAGCTCAGAGCTGGGTCTCTTTTTTTCTTTAAGATCGAAGTAGAGTTGGTTCACAGGGCTGCGTCCATCTCAGGTGGACAGCATCCTGACTCAGTATTTTTGCAGATTATACCCCATTGTCAGTCATTACCAGACGGTGAGGGTCAGTCCCCACGCCGGGTGCTTGTCTGTTTTACACGGAGTGGCTATGTCTGTTCCCGAGAGCTACATTCTTCAAGGGCAGGGGCGCCCAGGAGGACAGTTTGGTGAGGAGGCCAGGTCAGCACCTGCTGCCCCTGCCGCCCCGCTAGGCTGAGCACTGCCCCAGGGGTCACACTGTTGGTGCCCTGGGGATCACGCTGTTGATGCCCTTGGGCGGGGGGAATCAGTCACCCTGTTGGTGCCCTGGAGGTCACTCACACTGTTGTTGCCCTGGGGACCAGTCACTGTTGGTGCCCTCGGGGGTGGGGGTCACCCCTTTGGTGCTCTGAGGGGGCCACCCTGTTGGTGCCCTAGGGGGGTCAGTCACCCTGTTGGTGCCTTGGGGGGTCACCCTTTTGGTGCCCTCGGAGGGTCACACTGTTGGTGCCCTGGAGGGGTCACCCTGTTGGTGCCCTAGGAGGGTCATTCTGTTGGTGCCCTGGGGGGGTCACGCTGTTGGTGTCTCAGTGTGGGTTGGGCTGCAGCTCCAAACTACCAGCAGTGATCGTGTTTCTCACAAGACAAAACAAAACAGCCCAGTTTCTCTTAAGAAGGACCCAAAGAAGCAATCACATTTTCAATTTTATTAATCTTGACCCCTGAGGACCAGTGTTTTTAATAGCCTCTGGGACAAAGCAGGAAGTAACAGAAAGCCTCTCAGATACTGTTCAACAAAGCGCCCTGGTGGTTTTGAGGCAGAAGCTTTTGTATGAAAGCTACAAACCCATCCCGCCACCAGGTAACCATGGTTATTCTAACCAGGGTGTTTGGCAGACATTCCCCAAAATAGGGTGAGCCTGTCTCTTCAGGTCCAGGGACTAAGACTCCAAGCTTCCACTGCACAGGGTGTGGGTACAGTCCCTCATCAGGAACTAAGATCCCACATGTCTTGAGATATGGCCAAAAAAATCAGCAAGTAAACAACTGACAATATTTATGGCCAATTCAAGCATTCAAAAGAAAATTCAAACATTGTGAAACTGTTTCTGCCCTATGATGTTTACAGCTTTCCTACTCCTGGATTTTTCTGGTAAGCCTAGTGGTATTGTAGACCAGGCTGTGTCAATATTTGGAAGAGACACATAACTTTGTGTAACAGTATTCTCAAAAGGACTAGTGCATACTGTTCCACAATCATGTACAAATTAACTATTCAAAGTTCAAGACACATGGATATAACAGAGTTTGAAATCATTGCTCTAGTTGTCAGATTCCACATTGCAACTAACTTTTAGGAAACCACCAACTGTCAAATTTTGGTGTAGTAGCAATATCTACAAATTTGGTGTAGTATGAATATCCACAGCTATCCAGAAGGCTATTAAATACTCCTCCGCTTTCCAACTATATACCTTGTGAGGCTTGATCTTCTTCATACAAGTCAACCAAAATAACATATATCAAGAGACTCTTTGCAGAAGCAGAGGAGAGTCCCTCTTCCGTCTATTAAGCCAGACAAGAATTGTAGAAATGTAAAAAAGAAAATGCTACTCTTTTCATGTTTTATTTGTAAAATATGACTTCTTCACTAAAATGTTATTTGTTAAGACATAATGGTGATCACTGTTATGTTTAGATGAATTAATACATAAAAATGTATTTTTTTCTCCTTTCAGATGAATGTTAGTAGATAGAATCCACATAAGCAAAGCCCCTGGGGGTTCTGTGCATTTGTGGGTGAAGGAAGGGATAACAGCCACAAGAGAAGGTCATAAGCAGAGCCATTTTAGCTCCTGGGTGGGAGGATCTGGAAGACTGAGACTGTTGATCTCTGTTTCATTAGCTCATCCGCATTGGCCTGCTCTGGGCATTCAGGAGTGAGTACCAATATGGGCTTTCCAGATGGCGCAGTGGTAAAGAATCTGCCTGCCAGTGCAGGAGATGCAAGAAAACTTGGGTTTGATCCCTGGGTTGGGAAGATCCCCTGGAAAAGGATGGCAACATGCTCCAGTTTCTGGCCTGGGAAATCCTATGGACAGAGGAGCCTGGAGGGCTACAGTCTGTGGGGTCACAAAGAGTCGGACATGACTGAGCGTTCACACATGCCCCAGTGCTGGCAGGTACCTGCCTCAGGAGTTAGGCTCAGGGATGTTCAACCTACTCGTTGATCTCCATCCTTCAAAACAACTAGTAATGAACTTTAGAGCCTACTTTTCCCATTCTAGACAGCCTCTGATTCCTGGAACTCAGAAACTATCCTCAGTGAGCCAGACTGGAGTGTTTTTCATTCTCATTAAAAGAGCTCATGAAGGAAGGAGCTTAGCTCATAATAAGCACCCAAGAAATACTATTCATTATTAGTAATAAACAATAATGATAATTATTATACTATTGTTCTTGGAGTTGAACACTCCAAGATGATTTTTTTTAATCTTTGTATTTAATAGGTTTAAACTCCAGGAAAGAAAATTTCTGCATCGTCAAAATGACCAAACTTACATCAACCCCGAAATAGCTGTTGCCCCCATCGTTGTATTACCTGCAAAGTTGAACATGAGGTCCCCTCCTTCCACGACACTGGGTTACTGCAGCTGCGGAGACACTGAACTGGGGACCAGCCACGCTGAGCCCCCGCGTCTGGCCTGGGGGACCATGAGCTGCTGGGGCCTTTCCTGGCTGTGCCCACCAAGTGCAGGGCAGAGGAGCCGTCCGGAGCGGACGCTAGGAGACCGTCCCCCGCACTCCGTGGGGCTCTGGCGTTTCTGCACACCCTCAGCTGAGCCCTGAGTATCCCTTTTCCCAGGCCCTCCTCCAGGGATGTTTGTACAGTGAACGCCTGGAAGACAGGGAACTGGTCCCTGGAGCAAGGGCAGGACGCTTGGCGCCCAGAACAGGCAGGATTTTGGCTCCCTCTGAAGGGCAGCATGCTGAGCCCTGGGCGTCATCTGACCCCCTTCATGTCCACCCCCTCCTTAGGACCCGGTGCGTGGGAGCTCTGACAGCTGCCGTAGGAACCCTGGGCCAGGCCCACCTGTTAACCTGCTCTGGGCTGAGACCCCGGACCCTCCACATCTCTTCCCACAGGCGAGGAGAATCAAGTACTTGACAGTGAAGTCAAAGTGTAATATTATCATATTTCTAAATGCTTTTGGCTGTGCCACGGGGCTTAGGGGAGTTTTAGTCCCATGACCAGGGACTGAACCCGGGCCCTGGCCAGTGAAAGCATGGAGTCCTCACCACTGGACTTCCAGGGAAGCCCCTGTAATATTATTAATGTGATACACCTGGGTGGACAGGTCCCAGCCCTGCGGCAAATCCAGCCTGATGCCTGCTTTTGTATATTCCACAAGCTGAGAACGGTGGGTACATCTTAGAGTGCTTGTTATTAAAGGGCCCGCCCACCATCCCACGTGTCGCCTCCTGGCCCCCACAGCCCTTCACAGAGGAGGCCCCCAGCCCTGGTGGAGGCGCCCGCCCACCTCCTGCGTGTTTCACAGCTCAGGTCCCAGGTTCTCTGCGGCTCTGCCGTATCCACGTGGTTTGAGAGTGGACTCGGGTTGGGAGAGCTCTCAAAGCTGGGATGGGTGAAGTCTATGCAGGCAGATCTGTCCTCGAAAATCCAAACACATTCTCCCCAGCTTGCCTACATCAGTGTAAACAGAGAACAGAGGGGCCTTCGGAGCCCCCAGCTCAGTGGGGACCTAGCCATCAGCAGCTGCGGTCACCGGCGAGAGGAACTGGGGTGAAACCAGGACAGGGCCCCTGTGCTCCGGTCAGCAGGCCCCCTGGGAGTCAGGTGTCCATCTCAGGGAGGACGTTAGCTCTTGGGCACCCCCGTCACAGTGAAGAACTGAAATCACCACTTGGGGGGCCGCTCTGGGACCAGCAGGGCTCTGTCACCGAGCCATGTGCTTGCCCGCGCGTGGCCCCAGCAGCGGTCCGTGTGGACAGGCCTCTCCCTCTGCCCCTCGGAGCAGCCGCCCCAGAGCCGTCCCGCACCTACGGTCCCCGGGAGGACCCCGACAGCACCCGGGTCGCAGTTCTCAGGGGGAGTGCTTAGGTGACAAATTGTGGTCACAAAGGAGATTCTTGGGCTGCTGCTGGCTCTTCTCCTGGAAGGAGCAGCTCAAGTTCAAAGCCTCCCCTTCAGAGGAGGGCCGCGGGCCAGCAGCGCTCTCGTGACGGTGGGGAGGGCTGTGCTCTCCCGGCTCTGCCTCGGNGCTGGCCTGGGGGCAATGGACTGGGCCCCGGGGTCTGCACGCTCCATCTGGGGGGCCTGGCTGGCCTGGCTGTCACAGGTGTCCCTCCCCTCGGCCCCTCGAGGCTGAGGTACCGCCTCCATCACTGTGTGCGCCTCCCCTAATCAGCCTCGTACGGGCAAGGGGCAGAGACTCCGAAAGTCCTGAGAATCCAGAATTTATCCGTGGGCAGAGGGCTCCTCTCCACGCTGCCCTACTGTGTGCCCCTCACGCTGCCCTGTGCAGCGGCGGCCTGGGAGCTCTGCACCCCTGGCCCCGTCCTTGTCCTCCAGTGATGGGGCGCCCAGCAGGGAGAGGGTGGGGGGGGCACAGGGTCCGCCGGCAGTCTCCCTGGCAGCAGCCCTCCCCTCGTTCCCAGGGCCAAGGACCACTGTCAGCAGCCCGGGTGCGTCCTCATTCTGTCCTGTCCCCTTGGACCTGCCCGCACTGATACAGCGGCGCCTCTGATAATCTCAATTAGCCCCCTTTGGGCTATGCTGGTCACCTCTTGCTGGGATCCCCCTGGATGATGAACGGCTCTGGGTCTGGTTTGCTATTTTAGAAGATGCCTCTACTTACTCCTTTGAGAAATAAATGTAGGAGGTTAGTGAGGAAACAGAGTTCTCTCCTGGCAGTGTAGCCGCTCCGTTCTGAGCTTGAAGCACAGACCTTCCAGTCCTGGGGCCGCCTGGTGTCCTGCTGACAAGGTGTTGGGACGGCTGGTGATGTAAGTCAGGGGACATCACTGCCCTGGAGGGGCTGATGGGGTCCAGATGCAACTGCTTCCATGGACCAGGCTGCCCCCTCTGATGCAGACCCTGCCTGTCCTCTCTGGACAGGCCTCCAGCAGCGGAGGGAGGGGGCGGGTGTTATTCCATCTCCCTCCAATCACTACCGGGGACGCGGCTCCTGGATTCCCGGCTGGGATGTTTGCTGAATGGATGCTGAGTCCAGGAGACGCCAACACCCAATTCCACATCTTCCTGAGCCAGGCAGACGCCCCGCCCCCAGAAGGAAGCGTCCAGGTGCTGCTGCAGCCACGAGGCACATGTTGTCAGAGACGTGCATTTTAACTGACCGGGTGTAGCCCGCCCAGTTCAGAAAGCACCCCGGGCGATTTACCTCCCTGAAGACGGTTTTCCAGGATAAACTGCAGTGGACAGAAGTAATGAAGTGCGGCACTGGTCCTTTAAACGTCACGTAGAACGTAAACCGTGAAGAATAGAAGGCTGGCAGAAGTGTGAAGTTCTTCACGTGTGTCTTTTGTAAAGCTGGGTGTTGAGACACAGACAGGCTGCCTGTTAAATTAAAGGAAAGCAACTGTGTAAAATGAAGCACAGACGTTCCCTGTTGTTTGTGATCATGGGTAATATGATTTATATTGATGAGTCGAGTGGAGCGCAGTTGCTCGAGCGCTGTTGTTGCTCCGTCGCTAGGCGGCGTCCAACACCGTCACCCCGCGGGCTGCAGCATGTCGGGCTCCTCGGCCCCCCAGTCTCCTGGGCTTCGCGCGAACTCACGTCCATCCAATCCTCTATCCTCTGTGCCCCCTTCTCCTTTTGCCTCTCAGCGATGCAAGTGCATTCATTCATGCAAGTACCATGAACGCAGGACTGATGGCCCTCGGGGAGGCAGACGTTAAACAAGCACTGTGAGCACATCTGACTGGGAAACCACACACCCCACCTGCTGCGTAGGGGTGTCCGGAAGACCTAAGGAAGAGAGACTGGAATTCCCTGATGGCCCAGTGGTTAGAATTCTGAGCTCTCACTGCCAAGAACTAAAATTCCCCAAGCCTCACAGTGTGGCCAAAACAACTTAAAATAAATACATAATTTTATAAAGGGATATTTATGCTGAAAATGGAAGGATGGAGGAGAAAAGTGCTTGGAGGAAGGGAGAGTAAGGAAGGAAGGTGGGTCAACTGCATGTCAAAGGCCTGGTGGTCAGGAGGAGCAGGAGATGCAGGCGGAGACTGGGTGTGTGGAGCGCAGAGAACAGGAGGGAAGGGTGGTCAGGAGCCAGCCACGTGGGGCTGTGGAGCCAGGACTGAGTTAGGAAGGAGGGGGAGAGGCAGCAAGTAACGTTATCTGGCTTGTGTTTTTAAATATACACTGAGCATAGGATGGACTGGGTTTCCCTGGTGGCTCAGCTGGTAAAGAATCTGCCTGCAATGCAAGAGACCTGGGTTTGATCCCTGGGTTGGGAAGATCCCCTAGAGAAGGGAAAGGCTACCCACTCCAGTATTCTGGCCTGGGTCACAAAGAATTGGACACCACTGAGCGACTTTCATTTTCATTTTCACAGGATGAACTATTGTGGGGCAAAGAAAGGAGCAGGCGGTCAATTTTATTAGGCCAGAAGACATGCAGAAGGAGCTGGGGTGACTGCTCTTAGAGTCCAGTGTAAATCCCATAGGTTTTCCAGTTACTCGATTCCCTGTTACAGACCCTAGGGTGAACGACTGACATAACCTGACCTCTTGATTGAGTACTTTGAAGAGATAAACCTATTTGTTGCAGGAAGGGGACCCCCTTGCAGGGCCTGAAAGTGGGCTCTTGTCTAACACTTGGAAGTGAATTGTTCGAGGAGACACATGTGCTTACAAAGCAAGGGACTTTATTGGGAAAGGGCACCCGGGCAGAGAGCAGGAGGTCAGGGAACCCAGGAGAACTGCTGTCAGATGGCTTGCAGTCTTGGGTTTATGGTGATGGGATGAGTTTCCAGGTTTTCTTTAGCCAGTCATTCTGACTCAGAGTCCTTCCTGGTGGTGCAGCCTTGTTCAGCCAAGATGGATGCCAGAGAGAAAGATTCTGGGAGGTGGTTGGACATGTGGTGTCTCCTTTTGACCTTTCCTGAACTCTTCTGGTTGGTGGTGGCTTATTAGTTCCGTGTCCCTTACCAGGACCTCCTGTTGTAAAACAATTCATGCAAATGGTTACTGCGGTGCTTGGCCAGGGTGGGCGGTTTCAGCCAGTGTGCTTCCCCTGACACCTGCAGAGAGAAGGGGGACTTCTAAGCTCTCCGAAGGCTTGCATGTAGAGGACCTCGAACCATTTGCCATTCCATTTGAAGAAGTTAGTGAGATCTGATAAAATATTGAAATCAGAAGTCCTGAACTCAGGCCAATGATTTTGGTCACCCAATTTGTATTGAGGCCAGATTTGAGTACAAAGTGACTCGAGTTTATGAACCTTGAGATCAGTCAAGAGCAGAGGTTTGAGGGTTCGTTGTATGCAGGCCAAGGGACAGTTCCACGGGACGGATTGGCTTGCTGCTGCTAAGTTGCCTCAATCGCGTCCGACTCTGTGCGACCCCATAGACGGCAGCCCACCAGGCTCCCCCGTCTCTGGGATTCTCCAGGCAAGAACAATGGAGTGGGTTGCCATTTCCTTCTCTAATGCATGAAAGTGAAAAGTGAAAGTGAAGTCGCTCAGTCGTGTCCGACTCTTAGTGACCCCATGGTCTGCAGCCCACCAGGCTCCTCCGTCCATGGGATTTTCCAGGCAAGAGTACTGGAGTGGGGTTCCATTGCCTTCTCCGGATTGGCTTGACCCCATAGCAAATGGCTAATGACTGTCCGGCTGAGAGAAAAGGTCGTCACCTAATCTTTTGACTGGGCAAACGGAGAAAGAGAGAGACTCTTAAGGAGGGAGGGGTGTCCCCCAAGTACCTCCCCAGAGGGCCTTTGGGCCGGAGGGTTCCCTGGGAATGCAGAAAGGACGATAGTCTATGCGCCCTAGAGTACCATTCGAGCTTCCCTGGGCTACTGGGTCAGGCGAGAATTCGTGGTGGATGGAGGGAGGTCGAATGGCAAAAGGCCTCTGTCCTGGAGTTGGTCAGTCTTGCAAAAAAGAGAGTGTAGAGAAAAGAGGAGGAGAGAGAAAGAGGCCGATATTCCTTGGGGTTCGTGGAAAACCAATAAAGCCCTTACCCAGGGCTTGTACCGCTCACGAAGGCACAGGGCATCTTCCCGAGGAGGTATTGAAAGCCCAGGCGGGGAAAGCGGGCTTGGCAGGTTTCCACGCTCCGAAGAGCTGGCCGTGGAGAACGAGATGGAGAAGGAACCTCAACCTCCCGGGTTTCGGCACCAAAAAATGTAGGGTAAGGGAGTTAGAGAAGGCGAGGTTTGGAGAAAGAAGGAGACCTGCACTTTACAGGAACAGATCACCTTTAATGAGCTGAGAAGGGGCAGCAGTCAGATGAGTGGGCTGCTGCGTCAAGTCAAGAAGAGAGTAGGTATATACAGAAACATATGTGCGGAGATACAGCGTTTTGAGGGGGTCTATTTTTCCTCAAGATTATTTTTGATTAGTTAACTTTCAACAACTGGGGCAAGAAATTCCTGAGACATGCTGGAAACTGGGATTGGCTGGGAGCTGAACATAATCAATCTTAATGTCCATTCCTTTCTTTAGGGGAGAAAATTCTTGAAAGTTGAGTGCCAAAGAATCGATGATTTTGAACTGTGGTGTTGGAGAAGACTCTTGAGAGTCCCTTGGACTGCAAGGAGATCCCACCAGTCCATCCTAAAGGAGATCAGTCCTGAAT